GATGATGAGAGTACAGTGAGTTGAGGTCTTGTTTTTATTGCCTGTTTGACAATTACTGTTATCTACAAATCAGGTAAGAGTGATAAACCATTCTTTATTTTTGGAATGAGGAGCTAGTCGTTTCTTTTCTCAATCACGTTTTTTCATTTATTGACTTTGTTCTTCACTTGATTCAGTGCTTGACCGAATAAATCTTTTATATGGGTTAAATGAGACACATATATTTGCCAATAGGGTGACGTGTTTGCTTAGTGTTCTGTTGTGGGATGTCCTTGCCGGTACACAAACTACTTCATCAACCATTCATTAGTCAAGAACGAAGTGGCGAATAGCCCAATGTTAGTGTAACGGAATTATGATTTACCGATATATCTGGTTGAATTAAAAGTTAGCAACATCTCACGGATTGTGGAAAAGGTTTCCGACAGATTCTCGCAAAACGATTATTTTCTATTTTAATCGAGAGCACGATCCAGTCTGATTTCAATGAGTTTCGACGTTAAACTAATCATACTACGAAGAAATGGTTCGTCAAACGTTTATTAGTCATAAAACTCCTAATGAAACCATTCATATTGCTTCGGACTAGATGATCGTTTCGCATAACGAACATAGTACACACTGGTATTGTATATAACTGCCGAGCTCACACAATAAACAGTTGGACTGAAAATCACTGATAAATGTGATGTTAGCTTCACATGATAGTTAAAATAATGTGTTTGATGTATATGGTCATGAGAGCTGAGCTGAGCTGAATTCGAGTCTGTGATAGAAGTGTATTCAACTGACAAGTTCCAAATAAGACGAAACGCTCGCCTTGGATTCCACGTCCTTCATCATCAATCTTTGCATATAAAGTGTACTTGATTTCGTTAACATGAGAACGCAATGATCTATTCCCCTTAGCAAAGTACTGGGACGAGATATATTAAAAGTTATGCTAGAAATATTGATTCTCTAAACTGTTGATTGCAATCTGGTATGTAAGATTTATTCATCAACAATCTGTCGAGTGAACGATCTCCCGTAATCAAGTTTCGTACAAAAATATTCCAGTCAATTAGCGGTTTTCACTGTCTTCGTATTTTTCAAAGATGTGTTTTGCACTTCATCGACCATGTTAATTGCCTATTGTTTGCAGGTCACTGTGTTTCCTTGTGTCAACACTTGTTATCATCCTACATGTAGGATACGGTCAAGTCAACTTTGAATACTACTTGTTTGCTGTGACTTGGCCACCATCGTATTATCTGGCGCAAAAAGTAATAAAACTTTCGTTTACTTGAAATGTTATCCTTTACCATGAACTTGAATCTATCGATTCACGTTTCACAGATGAATTTTATTGATTAATATACAATGAAATCAATCTGTACGATTCTCTTCCGTTCGTGGATATGGACCAGAGTCATTCGCTGATCGAGTACTGATCATTGTGATATTCATTGACAGGTTACGCTCACTTTGTAGAGGTAATACTTTATTTCACCAAACATGGGGATTCTAACTGTATATTGATTGGATTGAATCAGGACAATTAGGCACATCACTGCCAAAGATTGCTTGAAACTGAACACAATGACATTTCCAGTGTTTAGGTCTGTCAGCTTGGGTATGGGTTATTTCGAGTGTATATCAAGGATCAGCTTTTGAAGGCAAATGGCCGAAGCAACTTATTTCACTTTGAAAAATTATCTAGTCACTTGAATCGCATTTGATAAGCTTCAACACATATTATATTCACATACATCGTTGTTCAACTGAGTAATAATTATTTGAAATTCTTCCTTTTAGAGTGCTCCACCGAAAGAATTAGATGGTTTTACTATTCATGGAATGTGGTAAGATTACATCTAATTTATGAAATATGTGCTTTGTAATGTTGTCGAATATACACAAGCAATGTCATGGATAATCATTGGGCACTATGTCTGTAAACTTCCGACCTGCTATGTTAGATCCAATGACCATTAGTACGATTTTATAATAAGAGCTTATCCGAAATGCCTACAGGTTTCAACATTACATTGTTGTACACTCATGTCAAACAGCATTCTTGAAAACATTGAACTTATTATTTATGAAATAGTGTTGAATGATGAGTTGAGTGCCTAGCATTGACTTGTCGTTTTCAGCGCGTCCGTGCGACGGAGTAAATTTAAATTGTGGAGCTCATCGATCAGCATCAAATTACTATTGGTCTCAGTTCCACTGTTTCACTAAGGAACAGTAAATTTTCTGACCACCGTAACAACAATAATGCATGCTGTGAATCAATATAATGGCGTTGAATAGATTTAAGTGGGCACACTCATATACGCTTTGCAACTACTATGATTTAATTATTCCGAATGATACACACATTTTACACTGAAATTATAGCTGTTTATTGATAAATATAAGCAATCAAATTTCCAAAATATACAACTCAGTGAATGGATGTAAATATTTGGTTAACTGTAATGTATTTTGTATATCATTTTTTAAGGCCCAAAATTGCACGTCATAAAAATCCAAAGTGTAAATCGAAAGAACAATTTGATATAGCACAATTGCAGGTTAGTCAGATATAAATTTCAGCCATTTTTAATCATGTTCACACTATCTCATTTTAATTAACTTATCGAATGTCAAGCAAACTACTGGATTTGTATCAGCCACTGCTTGGTAGTGATTGAGCTAATTGCTATTTTCTATAAGCAGATAATGCTAAAGTTTGATCGATTTTTGATCCTCGAGCGATGTTCATCACCGGATGGGAATAAACGTGGAATTTTACAATGATGCTGCGAACAAAAGTGTTTAATTTCGCTTGTTCGTAGCAGATTTTCCGATGCAATAATTCACTAAGGCCATTCTTTAAATTTATTCTCTCATTCTATTTCAGGGACTACTAGGCGATCTAAAAAAACTGTGGCCATTTTTGAAAAATTACAGCTATCCAGCTGTATTTTGGTAAGAGATCTGATAATATTTCATTAACCGAATATTTCTTCCGGGGATTAAACAACGTTCTCTGTCGATTAAACGATATAGTTTTCTGGTCATGATCCCCAATGTAACTGGCAATTGAACCACACTCCGTAAACGCAAACATCATTGAGCAGATGAGAACGTTTGATAGTTACTAAGTTGAAGTGGTTTTGTGTAAAGAAGCCATGCAGTGATGATATTTTGGCTCGGAAAACGAACTTCAGATGAAGATGTGTGTTCTGTCGAAAGCAGAATGATCTGCAAATGGAAATCAACCCTCGACGATATGCTTTGTTGACTGATGAATGTGACAGAGTTGACAAAGACTTCCTGTATTGTTTCATTGAATTGACGTTGTTAGAAGCCATCGTGTTGTCATTCATGTTTTCGATTTGTCGTCGAACAAATTTCAATTATGTATAAGTCTTGTGAGTAAAACATCACAGAAAAATCAACTTAAAAATGATAAGGCACTTTATGCTGAATCTTCAACTTTCAGATGTTTCAAACTAGGGGTCTTTCAACAAACAATAAACTCATGATGTTCGTTTTCGAAGACAGTTTAGGCCATTATCGTGTACTTTTCAAATTACATTTGGTTACTTTATGAAATATTTTCAACTGTGTCCACTTATAGGAAATATGAATTTGACATACATGGCAGGTGTGCACTACAGGACCCTCTAATCGGTAATCAATATCGGTACTTCAAATTTGGTATTGACGAGATGAAAAAACTGAAACTACTGGAGTAAGTGATCCATGTTGTAATAAATTTATGATAACATATAGTTAGCCATATTGATCGTCCTCATATTCGTGATCGACTTGTGAAACAAACTAATCATACTGACTATGAACAGATGTGTTATGTCCTATAAGTGGGATTGAGGACGCCCATTTTCGACTGAAATGAGGCTCTTCAGTTGTTTTCAGTAATACGACTGAGAAGAGCATATAATTTGATCATGCGTATCGGTTGATTAAACAACCGATGTCTGATGAGTAAAAACCGGATGTCTAATGTTACTGTGTAAGTGAATACTTGTTAAATTAGCCAATTACATCTTATATCTTTGTTTATATTTGTTTTCTATTATTTTAGTAATCTGAAAAAACATGGTATCACACCGCATGCTTCCATGAAATATGATGTAAGTCTTAGAGAATAAATCAATTTTCATGACTGCACCATCATATATGCTCGATAAAATAATGGTTGGGATCTAACCCAGTTCAAACGTCGGTCACATCTATAATTATGCATGATCAGATAGAGTGTGAACTCATTTAAAAGGAACATTTCATTGAACAATCAACCGTGTTACCGTTTGTTGTTAAATAACGAATTTCCATTGAATTTGAGGGGGATATTTTAACATAATTGGCCGACTCCAAGAGATACCTACTAACTATTCAAAGTGATGCGAATGTTGTACGAAATCTGTCAGTGTGATCACTGATACTAAACTAGTGTGATGGCTTCATGAACCGAATGTCGACGTCAGTTAGAACTGACAAAACAAGGATTAAGAACTTCAATGGTTAACAGGCAAGAACAGTAAATGTTTTGCTACTCTAGATAAACGACTATTATTTCACGAAACAAGGTACACTTGGATAATCACATATCCAACACAGTGAAAGGTACGTGAATCCGTTCACATCAGAATTGAAATTTTGTAAGCTGTAGCTTTTTTCAGTAAGAAAACTGTGAGCAAATACTACTACTACCACTATTATTATTATTATTATTATTATTACTAGTAGTAGTGGTTTTCTTTGTATGTAGAGGATGGTTTCCCCAGTCTGGTCGCCTCTGTGTGCCTCTACTACTTCACATTTGAAAATATCCACCTCCCTCTTCACTTGTGTCTCATACCTTCATGACTGTATTTGCAACTGTTTGTGACGTTACGTCATTTAATTAACCATCTCCATTACTTTTAAATATTGTTGCAAAAGCATTGTAATCATTATATTTCATACATATTAGAAATGAATTTTCGTTCTATTTTTCACAGGCAAGCGATTTTCAGAACGTACTGAAGAAAGAATACGGTCACCATGGTTTCTTAAAGTGCACCAACGTAATCGGACAGGTGAGTGTATCAGTAATCAGTAATCGATTCCTTTACGAATGTAAAAATAAAACACGTTTTTTTATCGTACCATTCGACTTTCCAGAATGTTATATAACTGGTAAACGGTATTTCAGCAAACTGTTAATAAGAATGTAGTTAGACAATAAGTGAAGTTGAAAGCATATTGTAACTGATTTGAAGTGAAAATATGAACCAACAAACCTGCCTCGATATTGTCTTAATTCACGAGCTTTATAAGCAGATATTGATTGTGACTAACAGTGGATGCGAACAAATGCAAGTGGAATCAAACTTCACCCCATTGCACAAACAGGTGGCTATCAGGATTCAGTAACTAGGTGGATAACGTGATGGTGATTGGCGCGATAGCTACAAGGTTCGAGTCTTGAAGTGAACATCAACCCAGGGATGCAAGTACGTCCAGCTGAGCAGTCCTAAATAGGATGAAACGTGTGTCCACTACCAGGCAGTATTCATCTTCGCTTATAACAATCAGATATTGCTAAATGCGAATGCGATAATTGTAGTAATCTTACACATTATATGTTTAATAACAATTCGTGGACATTTGTCATTTACGAATTATGCACAACATCTAGTCATAATGAAATGGGTAGACAAACAATCGTTCCGACACATGAAGTTTATAATACACTTATGTTAATTGATACCTTTAGAGCTGAACTTGATTTCGATCATTGTGAAATATTGGCTTAACTCTGCCGTTCTCTCATTTTTCCAGAGTGGAGTGCGTCTCCTGGAAGAGGTGAGGATTTGCTTCAATCTTACACATCATTACGTGGACTGCCATTCCCTCGGCGACTGTCCAAATCAGTTCGTATTCCCTCCATATTGATTACTGCGTAAATTTGTTACAGTTAAACCTATGTTTAATAATAAAGTTGAAACGTGTCTACTGTTTCTGTTATTTCGTATTTCTGAAGCATAATTTAAAAGATATTTGTGTAAGGACAATTATATTGAATTTTTCATAGTAAATCGTGACGATAGACTCTTAATGCATCTTGCAAACAATCGTTGATAAATCCCACAAGTGGTACACATCTAGTTGCAAGATTGTTCACTCGTTAGTCACAGACTGCTATCGGTAAATCGGTGAACTCTTGAAAAGTAGATGTCGTGAAGCACATGGTCAAATTTGTTCACAGATGGTGCGATGGTTCTGTAATTAAAAGTGATTTAAATTCTAGAAATCGTGTCGAAAGTCTTATGAGATACATTTATGTCTTTGGAAGTGAACCACAATAAATGTTCTTATTTGTATCTCTGGATCTCCAATGAAAGCAAATAGACTAAAGCAATAATTGTCTGAAAACTTCGTAGGATAACTAATTATTATTGCTTCCAATGTGTTACCAAGTTTAATAATGAATTCATATATGAGAATTGACGAATCATTTAATTTTAAGGTTTTCAAAAAGAAAATTTTGCCTAAACACCGTTGAATATGGTAAACGCTGTTTTAAATTGATACGAAAATCCATTAAATTGAGTACGCTATTACAACCATATGATGATCAAATCAGCCTAATAATAATATTCGGTTTTGAAGTCATTAGTTGGCATCATATCATGTTAATGAATGAGTCTATTCAGATACGGAATTAATTCACAGTGGTTGTTGAAACGAATTCCGAAATGCTTTCTTTCATTATGGGTAGTAATTCCTTCTGGCTATTCATATTTGCTAGATCATAAAACATTGTCTGATTGGATGATTAATTGACATGTTCTGTGTTTGCTTCTCTCCGTCAGTTCAAACTCAATTTGGCGTTTATAAAAGCAGACGAATCGAAGACACTGGATTTTCGAATCTAGTACCAAAGATGATAATATAAAAACCTAACACAGAGAAAGAAGTTTCAAGGGACCAGTATTTGTTTCTTTTTATTGCTAGCATCTAAGTGTGATGTGAACTACTGAAATCGGCATCTTGAGCACATAGGCGAACTGAAATAATTAGGAACAGATGTACTACGCAATTGTTTTCGACTTTACATAACACTTAAAATGTTAGGTTTTCTTTTGAAGAAGCTTAGCGTTGGGAAGACACAAACTGTCTATGTTACTAGTAGAGACTCACTGTCATGGAAATGGCAAGATACGAAGCCCACATGTGCTGTCGATCTGACTTAAGTGTTATGTGTTGAAAAATTGAAGTCAGGTAAACATCCAAAATTCAAGGTCTATAATAATATAACATTCAGACACTGGAATATCATCCACTTCAAAATATAATCACAGGTTGCTGCATACGACTTAGAACGGGCATAGGATTAGTTTGGACTTGATACTTCTTACACGATATGTCAATCTCGTTTTATTGCTGCTGCACAAACTACAAGACTATTGAAATGGCTATTCAGACTTACTAGATCATCAAACACTGTATATGATTGTACTCCATTGTCTGGTTGAATGGTCAATTGACATGATCTGTGTGGACGCTTGAATGTTTGTTTCTCACCATCACTTCGAACTCAATGTGCTTAAAAGCAGACGAACCAGAATGACCGAATCGATTATAGAGAGTTTCAATAAAATATCTGTGAAACAAGAAGACAAATTATCACCTAATATGGTTTCCATTTGATATTCACATATACATATGTCATTTTGAAAATTTTCAGAGTTTCTTGGCCTATTCTATCAGTCCGAATACTCAAGTTTTACTGTACATAACCTAACTCTGGATCAAAACTTTTGATCGCATTTCGCTCGCTCCTTGTAGAATTCCATTAGACGCATGGGAGTAGTTGACTGATATCCGAAGCTACTGGCTGGATAATAAATACTCTCGACTGAAAGACTTATACACATCATCGTGTGAATATTATTCAGAATGCTGAAAGTACTCAACAACATACTTAGCAAGGGTATTTGTAAGAAACCAGTTTTTGATCCGCCACAGAATTTACATAAGATGAAATCTCGGCTGGATGCCCAGAGATTGAGTAGGAGGCAAGCTCTCAAGAGCTTAATCAATAAAGCGATGCTGATCCAACAACTCAAGCTTCGTTACCAGCGATTAACATGCACATTCATAATAGCGCAAATCGCGATAATAAAATATAGTAATATGGCACGATTACTCATGTGATCGTTGAATGTCAAGGTGTAGTGATGCTCAAGGATTTACTTGTTCGTCGGAAAAACAATACGGTTAACGACAATCAATGTCAGATTACGAGTTTTCATATTATTACAGAGCGATCTAATTCTGAACTCGCCTTCGTTAGTTTTTATGGATGACTTGGAAGTTAAGCATGTGCAATATGTGCATCGTGTTGTCTAGGGATTTCTAGTCACACCACGCAACCACAGATGTGCTTCAAAACGGTTCTTGAAGTCAAGCGACTGTTCTCGAAACCAGCACAAACCAATGTTTTATAGACTAGATTGACATCGTCAAGTCTCCGTCCTTTAACTGAAACCTGTGTGCAGAAGCATTATTGGTCAGGCCTCATTCGACAATGAGTCGATCATCTAAATTCACTACTCGACCAAATAATTATCAGTACCAACTTTTAATACCTATGAGGCCGCAAAACAATTTGGGATGAAATCAACTTTAAACACTCCCGAGGTTAATGAGTAAGAAACTTCGGGAAAAAGAGAATTCCTCACATCGAATTGTCGTTATTTCACATTTCTGTCAGTGTCTGTTGTCAAAATAATTATCTAGTTGACAATTCATTGAGGAATCGATCAGTCTATTCAGTGAAGTATTTTCTTCATCCTACACGAGATACATGTGAATCGGCGGCTAACCAAGCGTCAATGGTTGGACTTATCTAAAGAACAGAGCTCAAAACTAAACGTCAGTCAACACAATACAGAACAATCATTCTTTATTGCTTGAATATCTAGGCTACCTGTTCCTTTGATCTAGATATTTCTTCAAGTTATCTGTTTTGTTGTTTGTTTTAGCACGTCAATATGTCTATCGTGCTCGCAATCTATTCGGGCGCATTTATGAAAAGTTTACAACCTTTCGCTATACGGGATACCGAAAGGTACAATCAGCGACATCATGGTGGCTGGCAATATGCAATGAAACGAATGAACATTAATCAATTGTGGATAACCGAATCCCTAACATCTAACTGGTCACCATTCGAAATTTATCGTCATAATCGATCAAGATATAAGAAAAAGAAACTTGTTGAAATACTTTATGCTGAGAATTCTATGTTGTACCAAAAGTATAATGTTGAATAAAGCTTCTTATAATAATAACAATAATAACATATATGAGGAGGTGATAGGTGTGATAATGATGAGCTTGGAAACTGTCAGATAATAGCTGATGATTTGAGTGAAACATGTAACATGGCTCGTACTAGTGAGAGGACTGTCGTAGAGACAAGGAACACTAAAATGAGAACGCTGAAATGATGATGCAGTAGTTCTTCATTGATTATCAGATGGTTCATGGTTTGATGAATTGGATCCGACTAGAAACATACATGGAGAAAAACGAGGACCGTCAATGAGTATCACGTGATGTGCTTCATGTAAACGTGTAAAGAAATCGTGTTTTTACGGAACTGAGCACGGTGAGTGAGATTATATGAGATTATGAGATCAGTATTAATAATTACATTATGTGTTCTGCAAACGTGCCATCTTCTTTCACTGGTTAAAATCATGTAAATTTCAGTGTATATATAACAGTGTTGGAAAGATTGTGTGCTCAGTTATCACAATACATCAGCAGATTTGAATTGATGATGAGAGTACAGTGAGTTGAGGTCTTGTTTTTATTGCCTGTTTGACAATTACTGTTATCTACAAATCAGGTAAGAGTGATAAACCATTCTTTATTTTTGGAATGAGGAGCTAGTCGTTTCTTCTCACAGACAAAATTGTCGAATGCTCTCAATCTCGTTTTTTTCTTTTATTGACTTTGTTGTTCACTTGATTCAGTGCTTGACCGAAGATGACGCATATATTTGCCAATACGTTGACGTCTTTGATTCGATTTTTAAACTTCATCAACATTTTAGGAAAAAGTTGAATATTGTCTGTCAGTAGAATGCATCGTGCGCGTTCGTTCTCCTATCCGAACTATTTATCTTGATGTGCCTGCATATCTGAATTGATGTTCTCTCTTTCACTCAAAATCAGTACCGTTTGCTTCAAATGCATTCGCGTTATCCTAGTTATTCAGGTAAAGAATACCAATTAAATCGACTAATATATGTATTCGTTTATTTTCTCATTTCTAGTGATAATCCGTGACCAGTGGAGCAAACACGTTGAGTAGTTCTATAGGAGCACGAATTGGTCGTATAGGGCTTCCAAGTTTTTCATGTACTGGTGATTTTATTCAATTATTCACACACTATGGTCCATCTCAAAGATATATGTACTGCTTGTGCTTTTTAAATGTTTACTTACGCCTTTTTGCTTCGATTTAACGTAGCATCTGAGTCAACATGGTGTTCGCTTCGATCAAAGAGATCATTTTGCTATTGGTTTAAAAAATAGCCGTCAAGCTTGCGTATTAGGAATGATTATGATCTCCACCAATCATTTCTCGACATTGTCGGAATGCAACTGGATCTTTCTACATCTTCGTTGACTTGTTTAATGCACAGTCTGTTAGGGATGATGGATTAATTTGTCGAAAAACCAATGTGCATGAGAAAATTTTAGGATGGATCTTCTGATGTCACTATACTTTCATTCGTATTGTTAATATTGTTCAACGATTGTACCATATGATATTGATCAGAAAACTCGGAAAACTAATGAATTTCCAAAAAATCACTACTTCCCGGTAGGTTGGTCCTGCAGTTATACACGCGTAGTTGATTCCGGACTCTTTCCGCTTTGGCTGATGCAAAACTTCAAAATCATGAGATCTCTTCGACATTCATCTTAGCATTTTCTCATATTGTACTTCCCGAGATTTTCTTCTGTCTTGGAAATGATGTTCATTGTTTCTACCAGTTAGTTTGTGGTGCCTAACGTCCTATTTCCAAGTTGAATGGATTTTGGAAAGCAGAGGAAGTTACCCCAATCCACACTACTGGATGAAATTCATATCGTAATGGGCGCAAAAGTAAGCATCCAGTGTTGAAGCGATAGAGATGTTCACAATTGACTGAAATGGATAAGTCGTAGAAATCTGTGATCAGCTACGATGTGGATTGATTGTCTAATAAATTGCTAATATTTTGCTTAAGACAAGTAATCCTCAAACTTTCAGTTTTTACCTCAGTCATTCAGTGCTATTGAAGCGATAATCAATCATATTTGCATCCAGTCAGCTGGAAATAATTCTGTTGAACTGAGCGTTTTAAATCTGTTTAGCTGTTGTGCAGAATGTGCTGGTGATTAATATGGTGGATCTGTTGTTCTCCGCTGAGATGATTGGGTGGAAGAGAGTATTATTACTCAAAGTTCAAAAGAAGATTAAACTGGTTGTCAAACGTATGGATTCTTTGAACATTAGCATCATGTCAAAGAAAAAATCCTTCACATGTTGAGAATTGTTCTGTGAAATTGCTCATTGTAATCCAAGATCTAAAACTGTATATTCATTGAAAAATCTAAACAGTCAAAGTAATATGAACACTTAATAATCATTTAGTATTCATGTTCTATATTCTCACTTATGAATAAAACTATCGATACATAAATTCTTAACTGAATAGCAAAGTTAATACTAATTTATCTTTGTAAAAGACTATTTCTGAACTCTTGAAATTGATTGACTTTACCTGGACCTTAATAACAATTAAGTGAGGATCTGATAATGGGTTGAATTATTACTGATTTATTTGTAAAGTCTGTCCAAGTTTAAATCCACTTTTTGTTTTTTACTTGAATCTTCCCAGTGATGTTAAGTATTACAATTCGTCAGTCTCTTATTTGCATATATGCTTCCTGTGAGGATTGCCACGATATCACCTTGATTCAAAAGCATTATGAGAAGAGATGGTTGGCGGCTGGCAGTGGAATCCAGGACACGAACCCGGAGTGAACTTGTATTATGGGATGCAGGTACATACAATCGATGAATCTCAACAATAATCGAAACGCGCATCGTGGATTCCACTGTTACCCACTGTCCATCTTTCCTTAGAATGCTTGTGAATTAATGTGATATCGAGGCAATCCGCACAGAATACTTATATGCAAACAAGAGATTGATCAATTGCAGTCCCACAAAAAATTGGGAAGATACAGGCAAACAACACCAAGGGTTTATCGTTATTAATTCTGAGATAATTCATTAAAATGTAACAGATAGACTAAACATATAGGAAGTGTTAGTTTGAAGTTTCTTGGAAATGTAAAATATGCAGCTTGAAAAGGAAATGCAAAGTTTTATGAATGGATGTGCAATAGTAGCGATACAAGAAACAAAATTAATAAATGTATGGGGAGATCACGAGTGTTTTGCTGCAATTTGTTCAGACTAATACTTAATACATTTCACAGTAGTACAAACCTAAAATTGAAAATCGTGTATGCCATTAGCATAAAATTGATGAGTGATAATTCACATGACGCGACGAATGCTGTGAACGTGTTTTACATCGTCTGTCAGACACAATTTTGTGTTCTTATGATACGATCAACTGATTGGCAAGGGATTTCAGGAGAATAATCAGTGACTGTTAATGGAGGTCCTTTCGTGCCTTAAGGTAACCCTCGTGCTATTGATAGAAGAAACCAGAGAAGTAGTGAATGGGTCTTTATTTCGATCTTCGCGCAGTCACAGTGGAGCGTGGGATTATCTGTTCAGACAAACAAAGGCTCTAAACATTCAATATAAGATAATAGGGAATATAACGCTTATAAAAAATAAGGAAGTGAATGAATACTTGAACAATACTGTTTTAGCATATGCTTGGTTGTTTGAGGTCAACTCTTAACCAACCAACCTGAGCTGTTACATTAGCTTCCCCCTAGAATCGACTTCCGTAGGAACGTCGGTTCGATTAACCTATCTATCGAAAACACCTTAGTTCTATTTCTCATCCCAAGGGAAAATTATCAACTCACTCACTATTTGACTTACAATCAGTTACGACTAACGCTGTCAACGATAGTCCATGGATGTCTCTTCATTTACTAGCTTGTCATCTTATTTTGTAGCATATGATCTCTTCTACAACTATCGCTGACGGTTTGCTGCATCCTTGAAAGAGAAAGTGTGAGAATGTGAAATAAGAATATCTGAGGAAGTGCCGCGAGCGGGCTACCCAACACCATGTTGGTGAGGTACGTTTTTTCCATGCTCAGACCGGCTATCAGGTGTTTACTCACCTGCCTCTTGAGTCGCCCTCAAGTAAAAGGTAAAGAAGAATCTACTTCAAAGGTAATGGTGAAAATCAAGCAAACCTGAAGAACTGCTCCACTGCCTGCATAAAATAATAAGATACAAAATGGAAATACATAAATGTAATTGATAATTGTTCGGTTCCATGTAAGTGCTTGGCCTCCAGAACGGACTGGCATTCTGGAAGGAAATAGACATAGTGTAGATATCTTGTGCACGAAAAACCATGAAAACAAAAAAATACTCTTTTGTAATGCATATATGTAAAAGGGTGAACTTGCTAGAAGTTGGACTCTTCGACAAAATCGATCAAATGCATGACCTAGAGCCTGTGGTGACCGCCTCTTACAACTAGGTGCGTAACCAAGGGTGCATCAGAATACTCCACAAAACGGATAAGAATATACGGTTAAGAAGCAAAAAAAATTGTGTAGAGTATGCGGATCAAGTACAGTTGTGTCAAATACCCTTTTCTGGTTTGATTTAGGTATGCATGATATATTGAAGCAATATTTCGTCAATTCATCCAAGTAACGAATTGGTTTGCACCTCAGAAGTGTGTAAGTCCTATTACTCATTAGTATTATGAGTGATTAATTGGTGTAAGGAAATATTGAAGTCACTTCCTCCGTGGTCTGATGTGGCTTAACGGCTAAGCACGCGGTCTATCATTCAGGAGGGCAGAGGTTCGAGTGCGTGTGGGGCCTGCGTTTTTGTTCACCTGACCCACCTTCAATACGATGTTTGTTGCCCGTAAGTCGCTCACATATGAGAGAAAAAATGACAAGAGGACAGATTGATATATCAAAGTGCCATATTGGAAAAGTATAGGTTCTTTGTTTACATTAATATTATTACTATAGAAAAAAAAACTACAACTTTAGTAAATTTCCATTTTACGTTATATTTAAACCAATGAATATATATATATATCAGTTATTGACATAAAATGTCTTTTTTATTACGCTAATGTTAAGTCCCAGGACTTTGTATGGGCCACTAATAATAATTGGTTTAACGTTAGCATAGTCGTGATATTCATATCGTCAGTTGAATGTTATGATTACTAAACAGTTCCCTTATAAGTTGTGTTTAAAATTAGGTATGTGGAATCAATGCGGCTAACATAGTAACCTTACAGTAACGCACTGTACTATATCTTCACGGTTATTGACTCTTAAATGTCAGAAATTTAAAAAAAATCTGAATATTGCTAATAAAGATGGGTTATATGATCACACTAAAAAGCATGCTGCAGGAAAACTGGTTAAGTCATTACGTAAGTTTCCTAAACATGAAAAAAAGAGAACTTTAATAAGTACTTGACCATGGTTTAATCCAAAATGTTTTGTCTAAAAAACCACTTATTAATAGTAGTATTAATCGTATCAAGCTACTAAACATATCCTCAACCGAAAACTTTTAGAAGTAGTTCATATGGTATATATGTATAGCCAGTCTACGTGAAAAATGTATATAAATATATAAGAAGTACAGCCAACATAGTTAATTAACCAGAAAAAGAAATTATAAAACTCGCCTGGGTTGCTTTTTGAATTCGTTGTATTTGCCAGTGTTAGTTGTATGAGTTTGATTAAAATCCTCAGCCATCACTTCGGAATACCTAGCTTATGTGTTCAGTATTTAAAAAAAAATTTAACATAACACTTATTTATCAAAGGTAAAAGGTCTGAGGAGTTGTCGGTGAGGCGGAATGAGGGAAAAAAATTATTTTTAAGTAGATGCGGGTTGTGATTAGCTACGTGGTTAGATTTTATCCTGCAGCCGAAACTGTCAACATCCTTGACTGACTAATTGGATGTGCCCAGCGAACAGTTTTAGTCATTTGTAAAGATTTATCATCTTTACGTTTCGATTCCGTGATGGATTTGTCAGTTAAACGATCTAACAACACATATGGTGGTTCATGATCTAGATAAGCCGGCTTTAGCCTATCAATACTTACTGTGTCGATGTTTCCATGTTTTTCTATCACGAAATATTTAGATTTTCTTGAGACGACTTTGAAAGGACCTTCAAATGGAGGACTGAGTGGTGCTTTTATTTTGTCACATCTTATCCAGACGTGCGTGCAATTGCTTAGGTCTTTAGGTATATGTACGGCGCGCGATTTTTCACGAGTATTAATCGGCCTAAGTTTAGACATGTGGTCCCGTAGTTGATCTACATAATTTTCTAAATTAAGTTTTTGACTGTTAGTATTAGGGTTAACAAATTCACCTGGTAGTCTCAGAGTTGTTCCGAAAACCAGTTCCGCAGCTGAACACTATGCGTCAGTTTTGACAGATGTTCGTATTCCCAACATAACTAATGGTAGGGATTCTGTCCACTGATTGGGGTTCGAGTGAGATATAAGGGCGGTTTTTAGCTGAAGGTGAAAACGTCCTACCATCCCATTAGCCTGAGGATGATATGCAGTGCAGCGTATCCTATTGGAGCCCAGAAGTTTAGCCAAGTTATTAAATAGTTCGGATTCGAATTGCGCTCCTCTATCCGTCGTTATTGTTATGGGTGTACCAAAAATGTTTACCCAGTTCTGCATGAAAACCTTGGCTACTGTTTCCGCTGTGATATCCGCTATCGGGATGGCTAAAGGGAATCTGGTAAATCGATCAATGCATGTAAAAATATAATTAAAACCGTTTGAACGTGGTAAAGGACCTACCAAGTCGATATGCACATGGGCAAAACGTGCATCTGGTTGCGAGAAAACACCTATGGGTGAATTCGTGTGACGATTAATCTTTGATTGTTGGCATGCTGAACACTCTCTAACACATTTGTGTACATCCTTCTGTAAATTCGGCCATATATATCTGGCATTGATTAGTTTTGTTGAAGCTTTTGCGCCAGGATGAGACAAAGAATGAAAGTTATTATATATCAACTTTCGCATACTTTTGGGAACGAAAGGTCGCGGAATTGCCTTGGTCGTGTCACAGTAGATTAGAATACCATCGACAGGTGATGGGAACTGTTTTAAATTAAGACTTGAATTGTTTGTTTTAAGCAGGTTTTGTAATTCTAGA